CCCTGGCCCGCGGAGCGGCGGCGCCGGAGGCGCCGCCAGGGGCGTGTGCCCAGCGCCGTCTCGGGAAGTCCGCGCGGACCTCCGATGTTTTATGTTTGCAGTCAGTCCGCACAGCAAGGACGAGCAACTTCCCGAGGACCCCCGAATCCTTCACCTTCGGCCCATCCTCGGCCGCTCTCGCTGGCCGCGCCCCGCCCGCAGAGTGTCAGCATGGCCTTCCAGGGCCCTTGCATTCTTATCTTCGGATGCAACTCCTGGGAGGTCAAATTTTGACTCTGCCCTGGTCCGGCATCCCGCTCGATCCTGGCAGTTGCCTCCTGACTTGTTACGCAGGTCGACTGTACAGTGAAGACCCATGCCAAGAAACACCCCGCTTGCCTCCAGGGTGCCCTGTGTTTCTTAGGTTTCGACGGTTTTGCGGTAAACGGCGTCATGTTCCCACGCCAGAAATCAATGGACGTCCTGAGGGGTCTAAGGGTTGGGTTTCTTGTGGAAGGTCTCGTGTGGTCGAGCTCCTATTGTCTGTCATTGTTGGCTGCCCTGACTTCCTCGAGGGAGCGGCGCTAACCTCGGCGTGGTGCCCCCCCTAAGTGGCGACCCCCTCGGCGTTGCCTTAAGTCGGGCCTGTCCCTCTACAGGAGGGACATTCAAAAATAGTAAATAAACAGCCTGGGGATTATTTTCTAACAATTTCTGATCATTTTGGGAGTTTAAGTACTTTTTAAACTTCGTCCCAAATCCCCCTGTAGGGGGACAGGCCCGACCTAAGCGTTGCCCCAGGTGCGGCACAGGCGTCGGGGGCCTCGCGCTCGCCCTCCTGGGGCACGAGGCGGTGCTGAGCGACATAGGCGACCTCGGTGCAGCCACAGGGGGGCCTTTGGGGATCGCTCCTCCTCCCTCCCCTCCTCCCTCCCTCCTCTTCCTCGACTGTTCTTCGTCCTCCTCCTCCTCCGCCTCCTCCTCCTCCCTCCTCCTCCTCCTCCTCCTCCTCCTCCTCCTCCTCCTCCTCCTCCTCCTCCTCCTTCTCCTCCTCCTCCTCCTCCTCCTCCTCCCCCTCCTCCCCCTCAAGGGTGTTAATTAGGAAAGTGCCTGATTGCATTGGAGGTGACCTTCAGGCCGCTGCCACGCAGTCGAACATCGACAGGAGCTCGGATCGGGCTGGAAAATAAAGTAACGAGAAAAAGGCCCAAGCATGAACTTTCGGAGGTCCGTGCGAGGTTCTCGGACCGGCGCTGGATCCCCTATGGCGGCGCCTCCGGTGCCGCCCCTGGCGCGCTCCACACGCCAGGAAGGGGGATCCATCGCAAATCCAAGAAGTTTGCACGGACCCAGAGTTTATGCTCATGCAGCTCGTTGCTGTATAGAAGACGCCGATGCCGACTCTCACCACCCACCAAACCACCCCAACCCAACCCGAAGGCTCAGATTTACCCTCGATCTCTAGTGGGGGTGGGTCCGGGAACATCGAAAAAACACATATGGAGCCCATACCCCCCCCAACCCGAAATTCGGGTCTTCGGGTTGGGTTGGGGTGGTCTGGTAGGTAGTCAGACTCATGTCCATGATGGCAGCTTGCACACAGGGCGGGGGGGGAGCGCGAGCGAGGCGGCTCCTGCGAGGGCGGCGGTTTCCAAGGAGGCAGGAGGCTGCTCGGAAGCCCTCCAAGCTTTCTTGAGAAGGCCCCTTAGAAGTGCCCGGGCGCTGATGAGAAGGCCCATGCCTTCTAGGAACCCTCCCCCCCTCCAAGAAGTCGATTCTTGAGTCGGGCCTGTCCCTCCACCGGGGGAAGATTCGAAAATAGTAAAAAGATGGTCTGGGGACCATTTGTTTACCAGCTTTGAGCATGTGTTGAATCTGTTTGGGGTCTTGATAATTTTTCGTGCGAAGTGCCCCCATGGGGGGACAGGCCCGACCTGAGTCGATTCCCCTCGCGCCACCCTCCTTGTGCCCGCCGCCGAACTTCGTCGCCACGGCCAGACTCCTGTCGAGGTCACGGTCCGAAGGGCGCCCTGGGAGCAAGAGGGGGCGGAGGAGGCGGAGGCGGAGGCGAAGGAGGAGGCGGAGGAGGAGGAGGAGGAGGAGGAGGGAGGAGGAGGAGGAGGAGGAGGCGGAGGAGGCGGAGGAGGCGGAGGAGGAGGCAGAGGAGGCGGAGGAGGCAGAGGAGGAGGGAGCAAGAGGGGGCGGAGGAGGCGGAGGAGAAGGCGGACGAGGAGGCGGAGGAGGAGGAGGCGGAGGGAGGAGGAGGAGGGGTATTGGTATACCTATACGACCACCCTTCGGGTGATAAGGAGGTTGTGGGGGGGGGAAGAAAGGGGAGGGAGCCAACATCTGACTCAATCGATCTTGCTATCGATCTCACTCAACGGGACACCACGGGACACCACGGGACACTTGTCGATCTCACTATCGATCTCACTATCGATCTCACTATCGATCTCACCCAACGGGACACCACGGGCCACCACGGGACACCATAGGACACCACGGGACATCTCTCGATCTCACTATCGGTTTCACTATCGATCTCACTATCGATCTCACTCAACGGGACACCATAGGACACCACGGGACACCACATCGATCTCACTATCGATATCACTATCGATCTCACTCAACGGGACACCACGGGACACCACGGGACACCGGCGGGACACCGCCGGGACACTAGCGGGACACCAGCAGGACACCGCGGGCCACTGGCCGCCGGAGGAGAAACATTTGGTCCAGCCGCGGCCCAGCCACAGGAGGATTTCGGGACACCAGCGGGACACCGGCGGGACACCGCGGGCCACCGGCCGCCAGAGGAGAAACATTTGGTCCGGCCGCGGCCCAGCCACAGGAGGATTTCCTCTCGCCCGCCCACGCAGCTTCGCCTCGCCCGCACGCCCACACGGCACGCACGACACGAACCCGAAACCGAAATCGATTTCCCAGTACGGGGGAGGGTGGATCGTTCAAGCGAAAAGATGCTCGTTCGAGCGAAAAGGTAATCCGTTCAAGCGAAAACCAATCGAGCGAAAACCAATCGGGTTTGGGCAGAGCAGCAGAGAGCACAGAGCAGCAGAGAGCACTGAGCAGCAGAGAGCACAGAGCAGCAGAGAGCACAGAGCAGCAGAGAGCACAGAGCAGCAGAGAGCAGAGCAGCACAGAGCAGCAGAGAGCACAGAGCAGCCGAGAGCACAGAGCAGCAGAGAGCACAGAGCAGCAGAGAGCACAGAGCAGCAGAGAGCACAGAGCAGCAGAGAGCGCAGAGCAGCAGAGAGCACAGAGCAGCAGAGAGCACAGAGCAGCAGAGAGCACAGAGCAGCAGAGAGCACAGAGCAGCAGAGAGCACAGAGCAGCAGAGAGCACAGAGCAGCAGAGAGCACAGAGCAGCAGAGAGCACAGAGCAGCAGAGAGCACAGAGCAGCAGAGAGCACAGAGCAGCAGAGAGCACAGAGCAGCAGAGAGCACAGAGCAGCAGAGAGCACAGAGCAGCAGAGAGCACAGAGCAGCAGAGAGCACAGAGCAGCAGAGAGCACAGAGCAGCAGAGAGCACAGAGCAGCAGAGAGCACAGAGCAGCAGAGAGCACAGAGCAGCAGAGAGCACAGAGCAGCAGAGAGCAGCAGAGCAGCAGAGAGCACAGAGCAGCAGAGAGCACAGAGCAGCAGAGAGCACAGAGCAGCAGAGAGCACAGAGCAGCAGAGAGCACAGAGCAGCAGAGAGCACAGAGCAGCAGAGAGTACAGAGCAGCAGAGAGCACAGAGCAGCAGAGAGCACAGAGCAGCAGAGAGCACAGAGCAGCAGAGAGCAGCAAAGCAGCAGAGAACACAGAGCAGCAGAGCAGCCGAGAGCACAGAGCAGCAGAGCAGCAGAGAGCACAGAGCCGGGAACCAGTATTTCGGGCTTCTCCCGCCTCGATCTCTCCAAAATCTGGGTTCCTGCCATCCTCTGGGCCGCCGTGGGTCCTGGGGCGCCTGACAGAGCTGGGAGCCGGGAATTTGAGCTTTTCCAGCCTCGATCTCTCCAAAATCCTAGTCCCCGCCCTCCTCTGGGCCGCCGTGGGTCCCTGGGGCGCCAGACAGAGCCGGGAACTGGGATTTCGGGCTTTTCCAGCCTCGGTCTCTCCAAAATCATTGTTCCCGCCCTCCTTTGGGCCGCCGTGGGTCCTTGGGGCGCCAGACAGATCGAGCTGGGAACCGGGATTTCGGGTTTATCCAGCCTCGATCTCTCCAAAATCCTGGTTCCCGCCCTCCTCTGGGCCGCCGTGGGTCGGGCGCCAGACACGTCCGGGAACCGGGATTTCGGGCTTTTCCAGCCTCGATCTCTCCAAAATCCTGGTTCCCGCCCTCCTCTGGGCCGCCGTGGGTCCTGGGAACCGGGAATTTGGGTTTTTCCAGCCTCGGTCTATCCAAAGTCCTGGTTCCCGCCCTCCTCTGGGCCGCCGTGGGTCCCTGGGGCGCCAGACAGAGCTGGGAGCCGGCATTTCGGGTTTATCCAGCCTCGATCTCTGGTTCCCGCCCTCTGGGCCGCCGTGGGTCCCTGGGGCGCCAGACACGGCCGGGAACCGGGATTTCGGGCTTTTCCAGCCTCGATCTCTCCAAAATCCTGGTTCCCGCCATCATCTGGGCCGCCGTGGGTCCCTGGGGACAGAGCTGGGAACCAGGATTTCGGGTTTTTCCAGCCCCGATCTCTCAGTCCTGGTTCCCGCCCTCCTATGGGCCGCCGTGGGTCCCTGGGGCGCCAGACAGAGCCAGGAGCCGGGAATTTTGGCTTTTCCAGTTTCGATCTCTCCAAAATCCTGGTTCCCGCCATCCTCTGGGCCGCCGTGGGTCCTTGGGGCGCCAGACAGAGCTGGGAGCCGGGAATTTGAGCTTTTCCAGCCTCGATCTCTCCAAAATCCTAGTCCCCGCCCTCCTCTGGGCCGCCGTGGGTCCCTGGGGCGCCAGACAGAGCCGGGAACCCAGAATTTGGGCTTTTCCAGCCTCGATCTCTCCAAAATCCTGGTCCCCGCCCTCCTCTGGGCCGCCGTGGGTCCCTGGGGCGCCAGACAGAGCCGGGAACCCAGAATTTGGGCTTTTCCAGCCTCGATCTCTCCCAAATCCTGGTCCCCGCCCTCCTCTGGGCCGCCGTGGGCCCCTGGCATCGACGCCGCCTTGGTATGCGGAGGCGGCGGCCGCCGCGGCGGCCGCCGCGTTGCAAAATCTTGGTTCCCGGCAGCCGCGGGGCGCGCGGGAGCGCCGGGAACCGGCGCGCACCTTTTCGCGCGCACGCGCCCAGCGAATTTCTTTCGAACGGCAGCAGTTTTCGCGCGAATCGTTTTCGCGCGGACGGCGGACCCTCGGTACGGGGGGTCTCCGTTTCACGTCGGACCCCCCCCCAACCTCCGAGAGTTTCGCTTCCCACCGCAGGAACAGGGCGCAGATCGCGGCCGCTGGGGGGGAGGCGACCTACATGACCCTTGACTGGAGGGGCCTTCCAGCTCGGGCACCGCTGGGGGCGTTCGACCTCGTCGTCGCCGCCGACGTCGTGTGGCACGAGTCGCTCGTCGAGCCGTTCCTCCAGGCCCCGAGCGGTCCGAAGCTTGGGGAAAGGGGGGGCCCGTCGGCGGAGCAGCCAGTCTCGGCGCCCTGGCCCTTCGATGGCCGACCTCGGAGATCCCCTGGACGCGCGTTGGCCGACGCGTGTGTTCGCCGACGCCTGCAGCCTTTGCCTCCGCCCCTGGGTGCGGGCGCGACGCCGCTCCACGCCCACGTGCCAGGACTCCGCGGCACCGGCCGGCCGCACCGGCCAATCGTGCCGAAGACCTTCGTGCTGTGAGTGCCCTCCCCCTTTCTTTCTGGCTCCGCGGCCGCCCTCGGCCTTGTCTGTGTGTCTCTCTCGCTCTCTCTCTCTCTCTCTGTCTCTCCTTCTCGCTCTCTCTCTCCTTCCCTTGCTGCCGGACACGCAGTATGCTGCGCCCCAGCTACTGGGGCGCGCGAGCGGATTGCCTCGCCCACGCCGCGATGGAAACCATGTGTTCACCTGGGTGACACAGTCAACCCGCGCACCAAGGATCGCGACGTTCAAGTTCCAAGGCTACCGTTGCGTCCTTCCCCTTCGGCCCATCCCTGGCCGCTTTCGCTCGCCGCGCCCCGCTCGCAGAGTGCCGACACGACCGGCCACAGCCCTTGCTCGGGTCGAGCGAGAGGGGGGAATAGGGAAAGGGGGGGGTACGAAGTCTGCTGCGGGCGCCTGGTTTCGGCCACGCCGCTGGGCCCAGTCCTCGATACATGGGCGCCTCCCGGCGCCGGGAGGTGCTGGGAGAATCAGCTACGTGAGCTGACTCTCTACCCTGCCCAGATGGTCTGGTACCGGAAATTTTCGGTAGCGATGTCGACGCACCCCGAATTTCGGTAGCGACCGAATCTTCGTTTGAGGGCGTTGAAATAGCGGATTTCAGAACGGTCTGATACCGGTATTGGGCGCTACATTTCGGTATTTCGGTAGCGACCGATCTCTGCGGAGCGCTACCGGAAATTTTCGGTAGCGGACCATCAGGGTGCCCTTTGCTATCCCCCTCTTTCCTACCCCCCGAGCGTCGTTGTTATACGGGTTGGCTGTAGCCGACGCGTGTGTTTACCTCGTTCGGCTCCGCCGGCAGCGCGCAGCCTGTGCCGGCCATCTTTGCGCCGCCTGCGCCGTCCTGCAGGGCCTCGGCGGACCAGTGCACGCTGGGTGCCGGAACGCGTGCCGAGGATCATCGCTAAGCTTGAGTCGGGCATGTCCCTCTACAGGAGGAATATTCCCCCCAAAAATAGGAAAATAGTCTGGGGACGATGTTTTGATTATTTTTTGCTATTTTTGAATATTGCTTCATTCGTGTAAAGTCCCCCTGTATGGGGGACATGCCCGACCGAAGGCTAATCTCGACGGGCCAGAGGTGGCACGAGAGCACCAGCGAGAAAAGAGAAGGGATGAGCAGGGGACGATTGGAGGACGAGAAGACGAGGAGCTGGGCAGTTGCGAATGAGGCCGCTGGTGCCGCGCATCGTCACGGACCGCACGGGTTATACGCGAGAGACGCTGTGGTCGCCCCCGTTCCACGACGCCCTCTTCTTGAGCCGAAGCAGCAGTGGCACGCAAGCGTTCGCTTCCGAAGGTCCGCGCGGACTTCCTGCGTCGACGCGGGCCCCCCCCCCCCGGCGGCGCCGCCCTTGGGCGCGCTCCGCGCGCCGGGGGAGGGGGGCGGGCGCCGATGTCCAGGATGGCCGCGGACCTCCGGGAGGTCACCAGGAAGCTGGATACAGTCATGGCCCTGAAGAAGGAGCCCTTTCCGTTGGGGAGGGGCTCCGCGTTCCTTGAGTGCTTCGCAGCTTGCCTTGGATTTTCCTTAGGTTTCCGATGGGGAATCGAAGTTTAACTTATGCAGAAAAAAGGGCCTCGTTCCTTATTTAGGGTTCCTTAGGTCAACGCCCCGAGTGTACGGTGGGGAAGCAAACCTCCAAGCAAACGCTCACAGAGGCCAGCGAGCCTTCGGTAGTGCAGTCCTCAGGGACAGGTCCAGCCTGGGGCTTTCCTTGGGGGCAGGGGCCTCGTGGGTCGTCTGGAAGCTAGCGGCCTAAGATCAGGAGGGAAAAAACACACAGACACAATGAATCGTCGATCCCCCAGAAATATGGGAAAATATAGGAAGTGGGGGGGAAGACGAAAACCCAGAAAATATGGTGAAATATGGGGAATATTTCTCTTTGTGTGTATTTATTCGTGTGTCCTGGGGCCCCTTCATAAGAGGCCGGCATCGCAGGAAAACCTGATGAAGATGTTGTGCGTGTTGCGCATGCGGTGGGAGCGTTGGTTGAGAAGTTCGCACCCAGGACCCAGACCTCCTCGCGTCGTGAAAAAGACACGACGGGGGGGGGGGGGTCGCTATCTTCGCCCTCTGGAAGCCCTTGCCGGGCCTCGGGACCGTCAACAAAACGACTCAGGATGAAAAACCGGTCCCACCGAGGCAGGCCACGAGCCGCTCGGGGGACGAGGGCGCCGGCCACGCGGCATCCCGAGTGCTGCTAGAGAGCCCCTCGGCCAGAGCGTAAACTCATGGATTTAACCATGATGAAACCAACTTTTTTCGGCCACAGCTTTCGACAGCAGGCGTCCAGATGCTTGCCACGAGGTGTGAAGGCGCCCCGCGATGCTTCAGACAGCTCTCGTGCCGCCGGCGATGCGATGCGATGAAAAACCGGTCCCAGGGAAAGGGTCCAGACTTCTGGGGGTCGACGTTGTGACAAGGATCACGACGTCGGGGGCCCGGGGGGGCCTCAGTTCCTGGAGGGTTCCTCATCGGATGGGGGGGCGGCTGTGACGTCCATGTCCGGTCCACGATCGGACTTCCACTGGCTTCCAGGGGAGCGACCGGCACAGGTGCTCCAGATTTCGTAATAAAGGGAGGGGGGTCTCATTTCGGGGGGGGGGGTCTCTTCCAGGCTATCTTGGAGGGCCTGGGGGGGTCTGGGGACGATGTTTTGGAGGGTTCTCCCACGAGGGGGGGTCTGAAATGGCTTGTCTTGGAGGGTCCAGACCCCCTTCCTTTTATTACGAAATCTGGAGTATGGAAAGCAAGGTTACAAAGACCTACAGCAGCTATTGGTTGCTTTGAACTGGACTCGCTGTCGGCGCCGCCGCTGGCAGCGTCCTTCTGAGACAGAGGGCCGCCTGCTCAACAGCGGCCGCCGTTGGTTTGGGACAACGTTTGTGGCTGGGCATCGTGCCCATTTTTCCCGCACGCATTTCGGGCGTCAAAAGTTCAGGAGGGAAAAAAAAAACACAGACACAATTAATCGTCGATCCCCCAGAAAATATGGGAAACTATGGGCAGTGGGGGGGGGAAGACAGACACCCAGAAATTATAGGAAAATATGGGGCAATATTTTTATTTGTGTGTACTTCTCTGTGTGTCCTGGGGCCCCTTCAAAAGTTCCAGGCCCCGGATGATTTTCTTTGTCCAGTGCCTTCTTATCCGATGCCGTGCGCGTGGTGCGGCCAGCCTCGGCCAGAGTCGCGGAAAACCTCGGAGATAGATGCAGGCCCTCTCAATGGCCGCGCAGGCCAGGACTCCAGGCCTCCAGGCCTCCAGGCCTTCTCCTCCTCCTCCTCCTCCTCCTCCTCCTCCTCCTCCTCCTCCTGAGCGGAAAAGAGGGGGGGGATGACTAGGGGGGGGGGGGATTTCATGGCGCGGGCCATGATCTTTCCCCATATTTCATGGCGCCTCTTCTTGTTTCATTACGTCCCAGGCCCCCCCGCTGGGCCGCGCACATGCCGCCGGTCATGATTTGCACCCCCCCTCTTGGACACCCCCCTCTTGGCCGCTCCCGACCAGATGTTCCGCGAGCGTGGCCAGCCACGCGTGCTTCCAGCTCCCTGGCACGCTTGTGCCGAGTTTGACCTCCTCGTTCCAGAGATCCGACGTCGTGATTTTTGGGATGCGCGGCCCCCAGAAGCCTCGACCCGTTCCCCAGGACCGGTTTTTCCTCCTGAGTCGTTTCTTGACGGTCCCGAGGCCCGGCGAAGGCCCCTAGGGGCCGAAGTTAGCGAAAAACTTCCGTCGTGATTTTTGTCACTACAGTCGGGGCCCTGAAGAAGGAACCCTTTTCGTTGGGGAGGGGCTCCGCGTTCCGTAAGTGTTTCGCAGCTTGCCTCAGGTGTTCCTCAGGTTTCGATGGGAAATCGAAGTTCAACTTGTGGAAAAAAGGGGCCCCGTGCCTTACTTTGGGCTCCTTAGGTCAAGGCCCCGACTGTACGTTGGATCTCTGGGGTGATCTTCAGGGTTTGTCGGGCTTCTTCGAGCGTGCTCGTCCGTTCTCTGCGTTTTTTTCTTCAGTGCCGTCCAGCAGCCGCGCCTCTCTCGCCGAGGGGCGTCCACCCATAGGGTGCCCTGGCTCGTTCCACATGGTCTCGGCACCGCCCGGGCGTGTGCCTTTTTTCCTTTCGTCGAGGAGGATCGAGGAGGCTCCTCGACGAGGAGCTCCTCGATGAGGAGCATCCTTGATCATTTTCCAGACGATCATTTTCCAAATGATCATGTTCCAAATGATCAAGGGTGCTCCTCGACGAGGAGCATCCTTGATCGTTTGGCGAAAAAGCCACGCACGAAACTGAGAAGAGCAGAGGGAATGGACGTCCGAGCGATGGCCAGGGCCCGAGTTATGACCCGAAAGCCAGCCCCTGTTCTCGGATCCGCCGTAACTGCCCTGGGCGATTTTGCAAGCAGGGCGGAAATTCCCGCCCTGCCTGTCGAGGTTTTTGCGATTTCGGCCCCACGCTGCGGTCGCTGCTTCCGTTGTACTTGTTCGAAACTCTCCCGCCTTCTTCTTCTGAGGCGGACATCTCCGCCCTCTTCGTCCGCATCGTGCGGGGTGCACCTCCTGAAGCATCCTTCGGTTACAAAGGCGACCAGAGTTCGGCGGACTCGAAGTCAGGGATGCCTGTGCCGAGCTTGACTTCCCCGTGATCCCGAGGCGGTCTCGTGGGCCTGCTCCGGCCCGGGGTCCTCGGAGGTGATCCTGTCGCACAAGGTGCCGGGGCCCGCCCAGAAGAGGCGGACCGCAGCGAGCGCCGCCCTCGAGGAGGAGGAGGAGGAGGAGGAGGAGGAGGAGGAGGAGGAGGAGGAGGAGGAGGAGGAGGGAGGAGGAGGGAGGAAGAGGAGGGGAAGGAGGAGGAGGAGGAGGAGGCGGAGGAGGAGCCAGGAGGAGAAGGAGGGGCAGGGGAAGGAAGAGCGCGGGAGGAGGAGCCAAGAGGAGAAGGAGGAGGAGGAGGTCCAGTGCAAACCCAAGCCAGCGATGTTGCAATCAACCTTCCCGCCGCGTTCCTTCTTCAAGGGCTGACATAAGGTTTTATCTGCATTGCGGGGAAAGCCCCGTTGGAAGACAGCTCCTTTCAACCACGCCAAATCACCAGACCTCGGGTTTCAACGCCACGAATCAATGTCATTGTTGCGGCCTGACGATCCTGAATGTCGCGTGAAAACCGTTTCTGGGACGTCAGCACCACGAATCAACGTTGCCGTCGCGGCCCGACGGTCCCAAACCGTGCCAGAACGCAACTTCTGGGACGCCAACCGCCATCATCGTCGAAGCTGATGCAAACTGTTGCGAGTCAAGAGTTCCGACGAATGCGCGCGGCGCGACAGCGACAGCCCCAGTTTGTAAAGGAACCGCCCTCCATCCGTGATGCTCTTGCAAACCCAGACCCCCGACGTCATGATTTTTTCATGACGCGACCCCCAGAGGTCCCGACCCCTTCCGCGGGACCGGTTTTTCGTCCTGAGTCGTTTTTTGACGCTCCCGAGGCCCGGGAAGGGCCCCCGGAGGCCGAAAATGGCGAAAAACCTCCCGTCGTGATTTTTTCACGACGCGAGGAGGTCTGGGATCCGTGATGCTCCTGCAGACGTTGCAACGAGCGTGCGCGGCGCTGCGGCGAGCGCCACACCTCTTGGGAACGGCCCGCCCTCCGCCCGCGAAGAGCGCAGTTCTCGAGCACGGCCCGCCCTCCGTCCGCGAGGCTGCTGCCGAAGTTTCTCAAGGCGAACGCGCGCAGAGGTAAAGCGATGGCCACACTTCGAACACAACCCGCCCTCCATCCCCAGACCTCCTCGCGTCGTGAACAAAATCACGACGGGAGGGTTTTCGCTCTTTTCGGCCTCTGGGGGCCCTCGCCGGGCCTCGGGACCGTCAAACAACGACTCAGGACGAAAAACCGGTCCCGGGGAATGGGTCGGGACCTCTGGGGGTCGCGTCATGAAAAAATCATGACGTCGGGGGTCTGGGTCCGTGAAGCTGCTGCAAATATCAAACCTCAGGGTCAAAAGCGGCGAGTGAGTCTCCGGCGAAACGCTTGGCCCGCCCTTTTCGACCCTTTCTCGGGGTGCGGCAGGGAGGAGGGATTACTTCTCTAAGGACGATGGATGGAGGGGATGATGAAAACAAGTAGGGGCCAGGAGGGGGAGGCGATCTCGTGGGCCCGCTCTGGCTGGGTGTCTTCGGAGGTACTACGTTATTACGCCCCCCCGGGAGAGTGCCAGGGGCCCTCCCGGCAGAGGTCCGCGGCGAGCGCCCCGCCCTGGACCTTCGAAAGGGACCTCGGAGTGGGGCGCTGTGCGCATTCCCTCTCTGCCAGATGCCTGTGGCCTTTTTTCCTCAGTCCTTCGACCGATTTTGATCAAAGGTTGGGCGCAAGTGCCGGCCATTGGGCCGTGCGCCCTCGACGCCGCGCGGCGGCTGCTGCGCCAGGTGCTTCATGAGTGCGATATCCTCGGCCCGCGCTTGGCGCTTCAGGCGGTCGGGTCCGAGTTCGAAGGGACGCTCGTGTCGTGCAGGTGGCGGCGGCCGCGGGCCTCAGTGTGGAGGAGGCACGGCAGCCGCTGAAGAGCCAGCGCGGAAGAGCGCTCCATGGCTGCCCTGAACGGGCCATGCTGGAGAACGCCGCGGCGTGCATAAGGGTGGCGGCCAGCCGAGGAGCGACCCAGGCCTCGCCACCGCGGGGGGCCCATGTGATGGCGGGGGCCCGCTTCGTTCGGAACTCGCGGCAGCAGACGAGAGCCGTTGCGGGCTGGGGGCGCGCAGGCGCGGGTTCGGTGGAAGCCCCGCGTGGTCGCGCTGCTCGAGGAGATGGGAGCGCCCTCGTCGGATATTGCACGGCGCGGTCTTGCATTGACCCCGAGCGGGCGAAGGACGGCATCACGGGCCGCGCGCATATCAACACGGTGAGGTCGCACGTGCGGCCCCCGCAGACGATGCGCAGATGGATATTGCGTGCGCGCGGGGCCCCGTGGCGTGCGACGATCGTAAATTCATCGGCCACGCACGTGCCAGGGCCGCCGAGCCGCGCGGGCGGACAGTGCCCAACCAGGCCCTGCGCGCCATGGTGTGGACAGATCGCGTGGCGGACGCGGACGAGCACGACAGGCTCTCCCCTCTCGACCCGAGGCGCAGCAGGTCGTCGGGAACGTGGAGATGCTCCGCAGCGCGGGCAAGGGTCCGACGACGAGGGCAGCACGGTCCCCCGGCGCGCTCATCGGGCCCTGGAACTGTGGGTCATGCGCGAGGACTTCGCGGGGTACCTACGCGGGGTGGCGCGCCTGCCCGAGGTACCTCGCGTATCAACAAGAAGGTACATTCTCTCAGTCTGCCCGGTGTCTGTGGCCACTTGGGCGCAGGCGCTCGGCCGATTTTGAAAGACCGACCCACCACCCTGGAGCATCAGGTTCTTGGAAGTGGCTGAAGCCCCGCGCACAGGTCCCGCATCTCCGCCACCCGTAACAATAGGCATCGACGCCACCCCCAGCCCCCCTTCGACCACCATCGCGCCACGATTCGGGTTATTCGAAGATGCGTTTCTCTTTTTTCTTTTGTTGATTGTTTTCTCTCCCTCTCTTTTTCTGTCTGTATATATATATACATACACATGTTTATATATGTGTTTCTCTCTCTCTCTCTTGTTTTCTCTCTCTCTCTCTTTCTCTCTCTCTCTCTCTCTCTTTCTCTCGCTGTCTCACTCTTATTATACACACAGATCTGTATACATACACAGACATGCGTAACTATGTGTGAGGCGCTCCAGAACAAAATGTGTCGTTGGCGAGGGCCCATGGAGTTGGCATCTCTTCCTCGGCGGAGGGCAGCGGAAGGTTGGCCGAATCTGGCGGACATGTATCGACCCTGCGATCCGAACCTGGTTCCACAAGGCCCAGATATGCGACACACCTGTCGTTATGTTCGTTTCGAGGCGCCATGCCTGGGACCTTCTTGCGCGAGCTGCTCGAGGGCGCTTCTGCTGTCGTGTCCATGGGTCGTGTGCAACTGTCGCGCCCAACGATTCTTTCCGGGATCTGACGCCAACACACCAGATCAACGCCCCACTGAACTGTCGCACTGGGCTGGGGGTGGGTGGAAAGAAAAAAAACACGCGCGTGCTGGCCCTGGGGGCTCCGACGAGCCACTCGCAAATTAGCCCCCGCCCGCGAAAACGCCTCGCGCCGTGCCGGACCACGTCGGCGATCCCAGCGCGGGCGTTCGAGGCGGAGCGCCGCCAGTTCGGGCCATCGAATCCAGGCACTAAGGTGTTTTTTTTCAAAGTTCGGCTGCCTAGAGGTTAACACCAACACCAACATCGGCGGTGTGCGTCCACCGAGGGAAGATGATCCCGGTCTCGGCGATGGTGGTGAGAGAGCTTCCTGGGTGGCCAGAGTCTCACCTCCAAGGCCAACATGTCGGATTATCTTCCCCTGGTGGAGGCAACCCTTTGTGTTGGTGCTGCTGCCCATTTCCAGGCCGCCAACGACATGGCGTTTCCAAAGTCGACCGGGCACCCGCAGGACCCCCCGCCCCTGGAAACGGGCGCGTCGAACGCGATCGCCCGCGCGCCTGCCCAGGGCGCCGCCTTCGCCCAATCTTAGGGAAAACATGCGGCGCGCGACTTCCAAGGGCCGATGGAGCGCACCTGCACGCAACGCTGCGCAGTCAGCATTGGATGCCCTGTCGGGGTTTGCTCCCATTGGCCGGCCACGTCGGTGCATGGACTCCCGTCCCCTTCGAACTAGATGGGGCGAGTCCATGTTCAGGAGGGAAAGAAACACACAGACACAATTAATCGTCGACCCTCTGGAAAATGTGGGAAAATATGGGCATTGGGGGGGGAAGACAAAAAAAACCCAGAAAAAATATGGGAAAATGTGGGGAATCCTTTTATTTGTGTGTATTTGTTTGTGTGCCTTTGGGCCCCTTGACATGCACCGATGCGGTGCGGAGGCTCCCTGTGGACCGAGCGGCGGGGCCGGCTTGGTCCGTCGCGGCTGCCTGGCCCCCAGCGCGCCGCGCGCGAGCGGATCGCGGAGGCGAGGCGCCAGGGCTGCTGGGAGCAGAGGGAGGAGGAGCAGAGGGAGGAGGAGGAGGAGGAGGAGGAGGAGGAGGAGGAGGAGCACGAGGAGGAGGAGGAGGAGGAGGAGGAGGAGGAGGAGGAGGAGGAAGAGGAGACAAGTTTCGAGAATCCGCTGGGAGCCGCTGGTTCTATTCCACATGGCCTCCCGAAGGTCTACTGCTTCCGATTCTGGCTGGTCTGCTTGGCCCAGCCCAGCAGAACTCCTTGTGACCATGCCGGTGAATGGGAACATCTGCCTACCACTGGCCAAGACTCAGCCGACATCCAGCGATCCGCGCCATCGGGAAGTTGCGATCGTTCAAGGTTGAACGATCCACGCATTGCCCGAAACCGAAGCGCAGGCTGTCGCGGCACGAGCCTGCCATGAGCCTCCACGTGCTGCAGCGACCGCGGGATTGTCAGGGAGCCTGGCACTCCACGGGCGTGTTTCCCAGACACGTGCGACGACGTGCGTTTTTTCGGTCCGCTGCCCCAGGGGTCCCGACGAGGGCGCGGGCGCGCGAGGGTGGCAGGAGGCCCCAAGGACCGTCTTCGGGGGCTCCTAGCCCGTCCGACACCCTCGGCGGCCATCTTGGGGGGCCTCTCTGAGTCGTCTTGGTGCGCTCTCTTGGAGCGCTTCGGGGACGCCTTGGGTCCTCTTGGGAGCCTCGGGATCCAGGGGCACTGCGTCTGACGTAGGCTTTTCGGCGACCACTTGCGCCGTGCGTCCATGAGCCCATCTTCAAGGCAGACAGGGCGGCGTCCACACACCTCGAGGGGTGATGATTTGGGGTACCTGCACGAGAGTGCGGGCGGGCAGATAGCCATGTCCACCACCCTTCGAGATCCCAGGGCGCGACTCCGAAGCGGTGGGTATGGACATGTCCTGGCGGGGGAGGTCTTGCTCTCGTCACTGGCGCTGGAGCCCGACCGACAAAGAGCAGCTTGAACATACATGTTCGGAGGTCCGTGCGGATTTCTTGGATCGGCGCCTCGTGCGCCGCCCTTGGCGCGCTCCGTGCGCCGGGGCGGGCGATTCAGCGCAGGTCCAGGGAAGCCGCGCGAACCTCCAAAAGGTTATATGCCTGTGCCGCTCACACCGCTCCTCCCCTCTCCTGCTCTCCACCGTCGTCTCTGTTTCGAGGTGTGACTCGGGGTCTTGCCCCGTCGCCTCTGGAGGGAACAGGTCATCGATCACTTCCTGCAGGTCACCGAGGTGCCCGGCGTCGGGTTTCTTGGCCCAGCCTTCCCGCAGAGGCGCCCGCGTGCCCGGCGCTGCCGGCTCTGGTCCCTGGACCGCCGCCGCCCTCCTCTGCGGCGGGCGCCACTGCGTCGGTCCCGATCCGATATCGAGTATCGACTTCGGCCTGCTCGATCTCCTCCTCCTCCTCCTCCTCCTCCTTCTCCTCCTCCTCCTCCTCCTCCTCCTCCTCCTCCTCCTCCTCCTCCTCCTCCTCCTTCCCCTCCTCCGCGGCGCTGCGGCAGCAGCCGGATGTGTCAGCGTGCGGGGGGGGGCCGTGCCAAGAATCTTTTGAGCTGCGTGCGCGGCGGCCTGTCTCGAGCCAGAGCCGCGCACGCCCGAGCGAGGGAGGGGCAGTGTCGGCGGGGGAAAATGCTCAGGTTCGAGGTTTGAGGTCCTCGGCTGTTTTCGTTGGTCCTCGGCAGCTTTGCAGCCTCGGGATGCCCTCCAGCGGCTGCGCCTCGCCGAGGGCGTTCCGGGGGTGCCCGGACGAATTGCTCCAAATCCCTTATTGATCGTCCCCCGGGTCTGGTTTTGTAAGGCGCCTTTTTTGCACTTGCGGGGGTCCAGCTTATCAGGGCGCTTTTTTTGGATCGGAGCTTAGGGGGTCTGGTTTATTGAGGCGCCCCGTCGAAGAGGGAGGGTCCAGAATATGTCAGGTCGCATCTGGAGGGGGGTCGGGTTTTTTAGGGGGGGGTCGATTCATGAGGGATCTGGAGCACGATCCGAAAGCCAGACGTATCAGGGGCAGCGTTGGAGGGACGCGTCGGCCCCCAAGCGCCCGCAAATCGCCGACAGGGGCGTGGCAGCCCACCGCGCCAAGGGCCGCGTGGACTTGGCGTCGGGGGGCCTGGCGCCGACCTGTGCATCGGCGGAGCGTCGCCGATCCAAGCGCCACGCTGCCCTCCCTGAGCCGGCTCCCCCCCCTCCCAGACCTCCTCGCGTCGTGAAAAAATCACGACGGGAGGTTTTTCGCTATTTTCGGCCTCTGGGGGCCCTCGCCGGGCCTCGGGAGCGTCAAAAAACGACTCAGGACGAAAAACCGGTCCCGGGGAAGGGGTCGGGACCTCTGGGGGTCGCGTCATGAAAAAATCATGACGTCGGGGGTCTGGGCTGACTCACCGCCCACCCTGAGTCCAACCCAGTGGCTGAGACGGCGCATGTCTGGAGGCAGGAGCGCCCACCACGGTCGTCAAGTCGGCCCCAAGACTGCGTTCGCTCAAGGCGGCAGCAGTCGTCAGCTCAGCTCCAGCACTTCACCCCCCAAAGCACCCCACCCCAACCCGAAGGCCCGAAGTTGTCCTCCATTTCCAGCGGGGGGGTGGGGGGTCGGGGAACATGGGAAAAACAGGTACGAAGACCCTAACCCCAGCCCGAAGTTCGGGCCTTCGGGTCGGGTTGGGGTGGTCTGGCAGGCAGTCGCTGACGTTGCCCTTCCGTGCGGGGCGGCACACCTTGATTGCGGCGTCCCGCGGGGAGGTGCGCGACGAGGAGTCCGTGCAGCTGTGGGAGAGGCTCACCGCCGAGGCGGGCCTGCGCATCGAGCGGAAGGTGCGCACCGAGGAGGCGGTCGGGGAGGACCCGGCAGCGCGCACGGGCCTGGGGACCGATTCTTGTCTGCCTCCTCGGCCGGGGCCAGGGCGGGGCGGCATCCGCTCCAGAGCGTCCAGGAACGCTCCGAGAGCGGCCCGGAGCTCTCAGGGAAGGCGCGGCGCTGGAGACATCCTCCGAGACCATCGCGCGCGTTTGGTCGAATTGAAAAACCAAGTTTTCGGCGAAAAGCCAGGTTTCTCGGGTTATAAATCAGGTTTGTCAGAAACTCGGACAATCGATTTCGAAAAACTGGGTTGTTCGATTGAAAAACCAGGGGAGCTGGACCCCCCCCCCAAAAAAACAAAAAGTGCGCACGCCGTGGTGCTCGCTGCGCACCCCCCCCGCCTCGGCGCGCCCCGCCGCCCCGCCCGGGCGCTGCCGCCCCCCCTGGCGCGCGCAGGCCCCATGTGCTCGGATCCGCCCTGTATGTTGGCTGGTTTTCCGACGTGAACCTGCGTCCGTCGGACGTGCGCCCCGGGCGATGCGAAGGAGACGGGCGGAAAGGTCCGCCTGTAGAGAAACGTTATGTCGGGCGTGTCCCCCTACGGGGGGATTTTCGACGAAAAATAAGAAATACCCCCGAACATGCCCCAAGAAGGTCAACAAATACTCAAAAAATAGTCCCCAGACAATTTTTGGATCATTTTTATTATCATTGTTGTTGTTCTTCTTCTTCTTATTATTATTATTAGTAGTAGTATTATTATTATTATTTTGGGGGTATTTTTATTTTTCGTCGAAAATCCCCCTGTCGGGGGACAGACCCGACTCAAGAGAAACGTCGGGCGAACATGTCCGCAAGGGCATGGCGGAAACGGCGGCGGCGAGGCAAGGCGGAAGTCGGCACCAGAGGAGCTCGAAGGGTGGGCCAGGGATGCCCGCCCTGCTTGCGGAAAATCGCCCCACCTACGGCGCATCCGGAGGCGGGGAGGCCTGAGTTCTGGGCGATGCTATTTCTTCGCGTCAGGCGTTTTTCCGCTCAGCTTCGGCACCCAGGACCATCAGACAACGGGCAAAGGGTAGAGGCCTGGGCACCTCCTCCTCCTCCTCCTCCTCCTCCTCCTCCTCCTCCTCCTCCTCCTCCTCCTCCTCCTCCCCCACTCCTCCTCCTCCTCCGAGGAGGAGGAGGAGGAGGATCTCGGCGGCGCCAGGACGCAGACCATCGCCGTGCACGCGTGGTCGATCCGGCTCCGACAACGCAGCAGAAAGATGGGTTTCTAGGGCTCCCGTTGTTCTCATCATGACGTTGCATTGTTGGCAACCTCGGCTCTCAAGGGGGGGTGGGCGAGCGGGCCGCTCCTGAGTGTCCGGCGAGGAAAAAGCTGCACATACATATATATATATATATATATATATATATATATATATATAGAAACGTTGGGAGGTTGTTATTATCATGACGTTGCATTGTTGGCAACGTCGGCTCTCAAGGGGGGGGGCGAGCGGGGCCGCTCCTTCGTGTCCGGCGACAAAAAAAACTGCATATACACAAACGTTGGGAGGTCCGCGCGGATTTCTTGGCCTCGCGCGGGTGTCTCAGCTCTCCGCCCCTCGCGCGCTCCGCGCGCCGGTGAGGGTGGTCCGACGCCGATCCGTAGAACCCGGACGGACTTCCAAAAGTTGATGTGTTGTTTCTTAAACCGAAAGTGGCAGGTGGACCCAAGCAGTGTGCCCCATAGCACTCTAGCGGTCTATGTCGTGCAGCACGTGGTGCCACTTATGTGGTGCAACCTATATGGCGCAACTTACGTGGTGCAACTTGATGTGGTGCAATTGTTGTGGTGCAGTCTACGTGTTGTAATATATGCGGTGCAATCTGAGTCGTGCGGTCCAAGTCGTGTGATCTATTTTGTGCATCTACGCGGTGCAACCTAGCTGGTGCAATATATGCTGTTCGATCTATGTGGTGCAACCTACGTGGTGCAAGTCGCCCTGCTGATCTTGATTTTGTCAACTCCACTGCTCGCGCAAGCATCCCACCCATCCACCCGCAACTTGGTTTGCAAAACCCATGCGGCGGCGACTGCGATGACTGCTTGGCGCTGGCTGGCGCGTCGCTGCGGCCGCGCTAGCGCGCGCAGCCATTCGCGCGCAGATACGCCACCTAGTCTGGCGCGACCAAGGTGGCCGCGGTGGCGCTGACCGGAGGAGATCCCCAGCGCGTCTCGCAGGCCGCGCTGACACGCGGGCACTGCAGTGGGAGTCGGTGACTCGGGCGGGCGCGGTATCGTGGTGGCGGCGATGGCGATGACGATGACGGTGGCAAGGCCAATGACGGCGCTGATGTTGATCACGCCGGCGACGATGATGGTGTCCACGCGTCGGTGAGATTTCGACGTGCGCGCGGCCGATGGGCCCGAATGGCCCCCGCATGATATTATTTGATAGGGATCGCCCCCCCCCCAGCACGTGCGTAAGGGTGTTCGAATGTTTCCGGCATGCGCGCGAGAGGTGCCTGTTTGATATCATGTGATGAGAATGCTGTAACACCAAAGCTTCTCTCACTATTTTTTGTTTTAAAAGAACATAAAACAAAAAACAAAAAAACAAACAACAAACAAACGCGTGCGCTGACCTTGTTTGAGTAGTCACGCTGCAAAGCCACATGTGTTCGTATAGGTGCTTTGGGACATTCGGTTTTGTAACCGATGCGAAGCCAGCGGTGTTTGACAGATCCCAGCGCGCGCGACAACGCGCGCGTGCGCATTGCGTCCCATCTGTTGCAAACGATTTTTGAAAATGGGTGAGTTTTGATTAACGAGTGTGTGCGCACTGTGCGTTTTGCAGACGGTGGTGTGGGGGGGGGTCGGATTTGGCCTGGTCGGGGTGGTATGGTTCATATATCGAATGGGCGATGGGGCAGGAGCGTGCGACAATTGCATATTCCCAAGGCTGGGGGCAATACTCACGGCCTCGGGGGGGGGGTCGATCCGAGTTCCTTTGGAGACAGGAGAATCTATGTGGAACGATCTGTGATGTGCACGTTGTGCAACTTACGTGGCGCAATATATGTTTTGCGTTCTCTGTTGTGCAATGTATGTAGTCCGCTCTATAGGGTGCCATGTATTTGGTGCAATCTATGTGGTGCAACTGATTTTTACAAACGAGTTGACACATCCCGTGCTCTTGCAAACATCCCACCCACCCACCCGCAACTTGGTATGCAAAACCCATAAGGTGGCGATTGCGATGCATGCTCGGCGTTGGCTGGTGCGTCTCTGCGGCCGCGCCATCCCAAGCACGCGCGCGCAGCGGTCAGCTGGTCTGGGGCGACCGTCGCGGCCGCGGTGGCGCTGATCGTCGGGCACATACCAACGGTCACTTTATTGCGAATCGGCGACTTGGGCGGGCGCGGTATCATGGCAACGTCGACAACGGTAGAAGTTGCGAGCGTGTCTCCAACGACGTCGACGACGACAACGACGACGACGACAACAACACCGACGACGACGACGCCGACGCTGACGACCACGACGACGATGACAACACCGACGACGACGCCGACGACGACGACGACGGCGAGGCCGACGACGACGACGGCGACGGCGACGGCGACGACGAAGACGACGACGACGACGTCGCCAACGAAGACGACGACGACGACGAGGGAGGTGGGAGGACGACGACAGCGACGACGACAACGACTAGGTAGGAGGGAAGACGACGACGACGACGACGACGACGACGACGACGGCGGCGATACAGGAGGGACAACGACGAAATGCCGACGAAGACGACGAATGAGGAAGGACGACCACGGGGACAACGACGACGGAAACGACGACGACGCCAAGACGACGACGACGACGACGAGGAAAGACAGAGGACGACGACGGCAACGACGACGGCGACGACCAGGGAAGAAGGAGGACGGCGACGACGACGACGATGCAAGAGCGCGCGCGCACCCTTCTGTTGAAAACCCGCGTTGCGAAGCTTTGTGTTTTTGTATGTTTTTTGGACACGATTTTAAAATCCTTCCGAAACCGATGGGGTTTGAAGGATTCCGGCATGCGCGCGCGACGACGCGCGCGTTTGCACTTCATCTTCTTTTTGTTTGAGAGGGTTCTCGCGACGGCACGCGCGCAAGGGCGCGCGACAGATTTCGACATGCGCGCGCGCACGAAGCCCGTTTGGTAGTACTTGTTTTGAAAATCGTGATGAGGCCCTTGGTTTTCGGAAGATTTCACAACGCGCGCGCGTTTTTTTTTTTTTTTTTTTTTTTTTTTTTTTTCATAAAAAAAAATGTTGCGAAGCCAGGTTTTTTATGTGTTTTGGAAGCTCGGCTTTGAAATCTGTCCGAAATCGACGGTTGAAAGCCTTTGGCATGCGCGCGCGATGACGCGCGCGAGCGCACTTCGTCCCATTCTACTGCAAGGGATTCTTGGAAATTTATGATTTGTGATAAACGAGTGCGCGCGCATAGTGTTTTTTGCAGAGGATGGTGGGGGGGGCGATACCGGTTTGGCTGGGATACTATAAGTTTACAGATCGGATGGACGATGGGGCAGAATCAGATGTAAATTGCAATACGAAAAAGGTGGCCCGTTATCTCCGGGGGGGGGAGTTTATTCTTGCTTAAAAAGGAGAACGCACCGTGCCGAACTTGAAGTTCACGGTTCCGCTGCCTGCGCAACGACCCCACCCACACCCGCAATTTGGTTTGCCAAACCCATGCGGCGGCGATTGCGATGATTGGTGGGGTTGGCTGGCGCGTCGTTACGGCCGTGCAAGCGCGCACGCTCGCGCGCAGAGCGGCCTTCTAGTCTGGCGCGACCGAAGCGGCCGCGGTGGCGCTGACCGCTGGTGACTTCCCAGCGCGTCTCGCACGCCGCGCTGACGCGCGGGCACTTCAATGCGAGTCGGCGACTCGTGCGGGCGCGGTATCGTGGCGACGTCAAACGGCAGGCACGATGATGAGCGTAGCGATGCTGGTGACGACGATGGCGATGACGATGACGACGGCAAATCTGACGGCGCTGGTGCTGATCACGCCAGTGACGATGATGGTGTCCACGCGTCGGTGCTGAAGGTTTTGGAATGATTTCGACATGCGCGCGCGGCCAACGGGCGCGAATGGCCCGCAGGGATCGTGCCCCCCCCGGCACGCGCGCAAGTGCGCGCGAATGATTTCAACATGCGCGCGCGAGATGCCGGCTTGGTCGGATGTGGTGGACATATATATATACAAACATAATATATATATATATATATAACATATATATATATATATATGTGTATGTTTTAATGGTTTTGTGAGCAACTTGCAAAAACGCTTGCGCAGACCCTGTTTGAATCGTCAGATTGCGAAGCTCTTTTTACACATAAATATGCGTTAGGTACACCCGAGTCAAGCATCGTTTTGCAGCCCGCTCCTTTTTGAAACATTCCGGCTTGCGCGCGAAGCCACGCGCGTGCACATTTCGTTATATTTTTGTTTGCCAAGGGTGATTGAAAATGATTCGTTGGTTAACGAATGTGCGCGCGTAGTGCGTGTTGCAAAGGATGATGATGGGGCAAAGTGATACAGGCTTGGCTCGGATGGTGTGCTTTCAGACCGGAAACGAGCGACGAGGCACGAGCACATGCACACTGCAATACGAAAGAGCGAACGGATCATTTTGGGGCGGGTGGGTCCATTTTGATTCGCTCTTCCGAAGGAGGTCTAACGTGGTACAGTCTGCGTGGCAACGCGGTGCAACTGGTGCGGTGCATCCTACGCGGTGCCATCTGTGCGAAGCTGCGACGGGGCGGCGACGGCGACAACCTAGCCGCCAGACCGGCCTGCAGCCCCAGACGAGGCAGCAGCGAGGCGGCGAACGGGCGGCGGCGTCAAAAAAGGGTGCCGCAAGATCGGCCCGCAGGCCCAGACGAGGCGGCGGCGAGGCGGCGTGGGAGCGGCGACGGCGAGAACGGAACCGCCACACCGGCCCGCAGGCTTCATAAGTGCAAGGATTGTTTGCGAGGAGCAGAAAAGACAGCTCGGAGTGCGACCAGGCGCGCCCTGCTGCGCTGGGGGAGGGGGGGGGGGACACCCCCTCTCCCGAGGCGGCCACCGGTCATCGTGGCGGGAGAACGGGCCCCAGGAGGCCGAAGACGCCGAACAGATCCTGGGGCACTCCGCAGGACTTGGGGAACGCGTTTTATTTGTGTTGTTACTCACGCAGGAAAGGGCAGGAGGCTCCTTGGAATCCGCCCAGCCATCAAATCAGCCTGTTCAGAAGCATCCGGCGCGGCGGATGTTTTTGGCGTTGTTGTGCGCTGGGGCCCAATCACTTTTCGCAGAGGCCTCCCAACCGCCCTGGAAAGCATCTTCCCTTTGTAAGTCCCCAGTCCCGTGTCAGCCAGCCCGAAGCAGGTCCAACGTAACTTGTTGAGTCTTGTCTTACAGCAGGATCGCGTCGTGTCGACACGGCGGTGACCCCGCCGCGGGCGTTCAATGTTGAGTGCCGTCAGTGGCCCAGTAGGACAGTAGGATCCGACATTGAACAATCTGGCGAGCGAAAAACCCCGATGGGTCAGGGTTGACAGGCCCACGCGATGTCAGAAACCAACACCCAGGTCGCCACGACACGCACGTACCCGCCATAGTCGATGTTCATTTTACTTAATCAGAGAAACTATGGATTCAGTTTGTGTCGGGGTTTCGGTTTTCTGCTATGCCTGGCGGCCCATAGGGGCCAGACGGATCGCGAGGAGGCGGAGGAGGAGGAGGAGGAGGAGGAGGAGGGGCCATCTGTGGAGCGTGCTTCTGACAATGTCAGAAGCACGTTCCACTTCAGCGACGGTGAAAACGAGGTCGTCGCCGCAAATATTCGCGCGTACGCTTCCCGCGCAGCGTCGCGCGCGCAGGGCGCCCCCCTCTCCACGCCGTGTGCCGGCGGCTGGCGGCAGGGTCTCGCTGTGCAGTGTCGCGTACACGCCGCGTTTCTCTCGTCGCGCACCTCCCGCTCGAGACAGGCTCTGTCTCCCTCCCCACCCCAGGGCTGGGCCTAAGCACTGTTTTGCTGGACCTCGGCTGCGTTTTGTTTTTCGTTTTGGGAGGGAGGTACAGCAAAACAGGTAGAGCAAAACGAACAGCAAAGCGAAGACAAAACGAAAAACAACGTTTAGGTCCAGCCCTGCCCCACCCTCTTTACTCTGTGCGCCTCCAGAGGACGGGCATCCCGATGTGGTCGTGTACCACTTGCGAAAGGCCGGGTAGGAGCGAGCCTCGCTTCCGCGAGCACCCTGCGTGCCGGCCGCGTGCCCCCTGCCCCCCCTTCCCCTCCGCTCCATCCCCCCCTCCGCCTCCT